ATAATGTTCGTGATTCAACCATCTAGCAGATCAGTTATTGTTGCCTCCAACCAACTAACATTCATCAAAGTACACCGCGATAGACAGTCTCGTAGATTGTTGGCCACATTTCGAAAATGACAAGTAGAATTCGGTAAGCAATCCAGAACAGACAATATGATATTGGTCTACTGATCAAGTATTGTACACATTAAAACTTTTAATAGTAACGAGTTGATGCAAGAAATCACGATCGCAAACTACTGGATATTGATGAAAAGACGAAATAAGCATTTGACGGAGGCATTTGTAATAGATTGATAGAAAAGGTTGGATGAATGGTTAGTGAAGTTCATGGGTTAACTTTACGTATGTATTTGTCAGGTTGGCAGCACTGTCCGCTCTACATTATCAAAGCAAAGTTTAACTTCAGGGTCAACAAAACACTTACTTAGCATTCGGAAATGTAATTTCGTGAAAATGCATATTCATCAGTATCTTAGTCGATTATCGTTACTAAACCGGAGAGAATCACATTGCTTGTCTCTTCTATGTGGAGTCTTTTTATCTCTTAGATACATTGTATACTGCACAAATATAGATTTTGCACACCCAATAAAAAATAAAGACAATAAACATAACTTCACTGGTTCATGATATACTATTTCTCTTAAATAAAAAAATGTAAATAACAGGAAGACATGAAAATCAAATATTCATGTATCCATCTAATCAGCGTAAAGTAGCAAAGAAGATTCCCTTTCTTATGACATCATTTTAATAGATTAATTTTTCCGTGTCAAAGATGACTCCGGTAAACCATTATCAAATCAAATTATTTAGATTCCTATTCGTCTAAGACTTCCTTTCAACCAGTGATAATGGTTGTATATCCGACCAATGAGAAGTAATATTTATTTGGCAGTAAATATTCACCCATTTTTGAGCATAAATAGCTCACCTGGAATTTATAGTGTGTCATAGTTACTTTAGCCACATATATGAATGCATAACCTCCAAATTATCAAAAAGACGAGATTATTAAGACAAGGACTGTTAACGCTTGTCTTTTCTATTCTTTAGTTGACTCATAGGCGTGAAATCCAGACAAGTATATAGTAGATGTGTTTAGGGCGTATCCTAAATTAAACCTGTTAGGCTTACTATGAACCATGTGGTAGTAAGCAAAAGTTACATCTGAAGTCAATAAATTTAAGACCATATGAAGATATTTTCAGTATTTGAAAGAAAAATTCTGAAAACTGTTTATTCCTTGATTGTATCATACATTTGGGAACGAACACAAATTCATTGATCCACTTCAGAGAATAATATTTAAACCTGCGTAATACACCAGACCACTACCTTTTTTCAAGTTGGTAATCATTATGGTTGAGATTATGGTGCCCACTGCCGAGGAGCCCCATGTTAGGACGAAACAGCTGTCCAATGCTCTCTGGTTTCTATTGTTCCTCTAACTCATGTCAGTCCATGATAAATACCAACTCGGAAAATCACTAAATTCTCACAAACACCCAGATTAAATTGATCTAGTGCTCATTGGTAACTAGTTTCAAGAGGTAATTCTTGAAGTTCTAAAGAGAAGTCACGACCGGTGGGGTCGTGAGGACAAAAAATCAACGACGACATTTGGTGATGGTCGCGCTATGTCGTGAACTGACAGAAGTTAGAAATATGGATCATTGTATTCCGACCTAGTGGCTCAGTGATAACGTGCTGGCCACGGAACTTGAAGGTCGTCAGTTCGACCCCTCTCTGGGTGCGCACTGCCGAGGAGTTGCATACTAGGATGAAATAGCTGTCCAGTGCTCCCTAGTTTCTAATGTTCTTCCAGCTGATGTCAGTCCATGATGAATACCAACTTGGAAAATCACTTGATTTCTACAAACCTCAATATTCTACTGTTCTGCATACAAATTACTAAGTTATACAATCAAAAATATGGTAGGAAAGTAAGGCTTTAAAAATTCATCTGAAAGCATTGAACTAGCCTACAGAAATTACTTCTGACTGTTTTTATAGGCTACCCAGCTAGTAACACTAGGTAAAAGTACCACGTTGCTTTTCTTGTTGATATAAATTTACAAACGAAGTAAATCAAAGTGCTTTAAACGAAATAACCCATTAGGTATGTAATCATGACTACAACTATTAAAATAGCCAATTAGGTTCGTTCTAATATATGAAGTTTATTTTAACTGTATAATCCAGGAGTTGAAGATTCGAAGGGATAAATAAATATTTTGTATCATTTGAAAACCTTTTGGATATTGCTAGAAGGAATGTTTTCAGGAGTATGAATATGGCATTAGGTCAATATCAGAACCAGACCAAAGGTTACTTTAATAATGTCGAGAAGTTTAAGAACCATAAAAAATGTATTTGTCTTGTTTTTCCTAATTTATGACCTTTGTCTTCAGTCATATAGTTTATAGTAAGCTTAACAGGCTATTGCATAGTTCAATTTAGGATACGTCCTAAACACAGATTTATTTTGAACTAAGCTGGATTTCACGCTTCAGTCAGTTAGGGAATAGAAAAAAAGACGAATACTAAAAATATTTGTCTTATTATATGTCGATACGCTTGTAACTCTCCATTGTTTTACTGTACTGAATTGTTCGACCTCAGTGGTCTGGTCGATAACACTGACGTTTAAAGCGATGGGTATGGGGTCCGAGTCTCAGTGGGGAAAACACCACTCACTGGAGTGCGAGTGAATCCAGCTGACGACTTCTAAATAGGGCGAAAAGCGCACTCTGGATTTCTTTGCTAGCCACAACCAAGTAAATTGTCATAATCCTTGTCTTATTAAACTCATTTCTTTGATAATTTGTAGGTTATGCATTCGTACATGTGACTAAAGTGACGATGACACATTATAAATTTTAAATGACCCATTTATACTCAACAATGTATGAAATATTTACTGCTTACCCAATTGAAACACTACAACACTGAGCTATAATACTACCAAGTTATGACTTGGTAATAAGACCGCTGGGAAGATTTCGAAAATACTGATTTGTTATTGCGACTTATAAGTGAGCATCGAAACTCAAACGAAGATGCTGTTATTTCTTCACTGATCAAGGAAGATTATACTGTTTGGCTTTAGAGTTGTCTATAACGTGGATTTCCTACCACGGTGTAGTACATAAAAAAAGACATACGATTATCAGACAAATGAAAAGGGATAATACATTCCCAGAATAAATGGCTGTATATGCATTCAACGAAGAAATCCCAGTTATTCTACATAAAAGGATTTCTTTGTGCTATTAACAACTGTCACTGCACCATGGTTACATTTTCAACATGTTCTAAAGGAGATTTATGCCAATAGCTTAGGTGCAGAAAGAATAAAAGCGATCGTCAGAAGTTACAACTATCCTACCTTCTTAAGCCCTAGATATAACGATTAAAAGCCACCATGAATTCAACCGCAACGCTGGCCTTCATCCTAGTGCCCATGGTTTTGAACAGATATTGGCTTTGCTAGACCAACCACTGTATGCAACATAGTATCTAGTGATAATCAACGCCTATTTCCTTTCACCAGAGTCTTAAAGATGAAAAATGACTGTCTTTTCAACTGTCGCTCCCCACAACTGAATACCAAAGACCATTCTTCCCGAAATTAGATTGCAACTGACTTCACAGTAATATTATGCCTGTACATAGAAGACAGGGAAACAAGTGCATTTTGATAGTAGGAATAAAGGAACGTGGTATATGTCTAACTTAGGATCCACTGTTATCAACATTACTATTGCTGTGGTGTAAGCATTTATACCTTTGTAATTAATAGTGGGTGATAACTGAAGGTGAAATGAAAATCTGTGTTACAGACAGAATCAACGTAGAACCTCACACACAAGTGCATAGCCTCAAGCTGCCACACTTCGCAGTAGTACACAAAGAACAATTGGATCGAAAAGGACTGATATCAAAGTAGACAAAGTTGTGTGAGAGAATAGACAATCTGGCGATAAAGTTTAGTGCGAATATTCAAGCTTTAGAAGACGTCACGCAGTGAACATATCAGCACCATTATCACGGATTTTCAGCCATGTCACCAAGAGTCGTCAACCACTCTTTTCTTTTGTCTCTGGGACCCCAACCAGGCAGTCTATATCTCCCCACACGACTCAGACCAACAGTCAAGAACTTCATCGACTGGTGCCACTTCTTAGTCTGGCTACCATGAACCCCCTTCCAACCTGATCCAGTAACTCCTACCATGACACACAGAAGTGGGCGGTGGCTCGGCATGGGCAGTATATGTCCAAGCCATCTCAGTCGACTAAGACTAAAGACCTCATCAATCGACTTGCCTGGTACGTTTCACCTCACCTCAACATTGCTTACACGATGATTTGATGGAACACGAGAAATGCTGCAAAGGTATCTATGATCGTAACTCTGTAATCGCTTCATGTCTTCTACTTTTAACAAACATGTCTCACAGCTGTATAACACAACAAAACAGAACGGATTACAGCGCAGTATACTCTGACCTGAGTGGTGATAGGATTCGGACCAGAGGCCTTTGGGTTGACAACCCAGTGGTCTACCAACTGAGCTAAGAGACCCAGATCATAATTTCATTTCAATCACTAAAGGTTCCACACAAAGGCAATGTGGATTTGTGATATGTCACTGTCCACTTACTCGTATTCACACTGGTTGACCCACCTAAGAGTTCTTATCCAATCCTAATCGAGCTGAATTAGAGAGAGAGAGTATCATATTGATTATCAACCTGACCATGTGAGGTAGACATGCTTTGACAGACTTGTATCACTGGTACTGTAGCGACCGATACCTTCATTTCACCTTCAATCATAAGCAAGTATCAATAATACAAACCTGTCGAACCACATCCATTGAATTTTTGAGGGAGTTGTAGAGATTTGGTGATATTTCCATACTAGGACGAAATAGCTGTCCAGTGCTCCCAGGTTTCCTTTGTTGCTCCAACTGATTCCAGTCTACGATGAATAACAACTTGGAACCATATCTATCTCAGAAAGTCAAACTGATAGCATTTACGGTTATCAACAGGTAAGCAATAAAGTGATGAAATTAGTAAACAGCAATAAATATCAGTCACATTTTGTACCTCTTCTACTGTCTCATTCCATTAACAAAATAATCATCATTTATGAAATAAGAGTATAAAGTGAATGTACAAAATATCGAACAGTAATAAGAAGTAATTATTATGCATGCAATTGCATGTACACAAACAAACAGAGAGATAAAACAAATAAACAAATAAATAAAAATAAACGACCCTCCCATTTCTAAACAAATATCCAAAAGAGTAACACAGATTCTCCATTATACAAAAAATAAATAGATGATCATTAAGTATAACAGAAACAACAATTATCGATTTTTCACTGTATAATATACACAGGGGTAAATATATCACAAATGGTAAAATAATAAGATCATAGATGAGTTTAGAGAATGTGGAATACACACTTGTGTACAAGTTGAAAATATAAAAACAAAGAGACCAACAGAAAACTGAAGAGAATGGGCAAAAAAAACACACACAAGAATGAGATCAGAAGAAGCTAATCAACACACACACACACAAAAGCACAAAATGCTCAAGGGAACATGTCTATATAACATACAACGGTATACATATAATAGATTGGAGGTAATTAAATAAAGTGGAATTCAATTGTTAATCCTTCCTAACCTTATTCAATTTTTCATTTTAATTTTATGCCGTTGTTTTTCTTGTGATGATACAACCGTTGACCTAGACGAAAGATAAAAGGTATAGGCTTCATTTGGTAAAGTATCTAAACAATTCGCCAAAGGACGTACTATTGTAGGGAAAGTAAACAATCCAAATACTAGACATAATCCAACTTCTACATAGAAACCATCTAAAAGAGTTGAACATGTTCCATCAATATCTTGACAGGCCTATAATGAAACAAGAAAAAACTAGAATAAAGTCAAGTATTTAACACTTATTTATTAGATTAGAAATCAGTTAGTACTGGATCGATTACTTGGTCAACTGCAGGACACTTCAACAGTATACAACTCAGATCTTCTTTCAAAAAAAGTATGAACCCCAAGTATGTACCGTAAAATACATTAACGTTTGAATGATTTGTCAGAACTAACCAGAACGGTTATTGTTGTGATGTCCCAGTTTTGTATAAAACATTATTATCGATTCGAACATTTTAACGTGTCATTCCCACATTATTTTTACGGTATGACTAATAGTCTATTTCTGTCCCCATTGTAATGTAATTTGCTGATTGGTTAATTTTTACGCTTACTATGCGAATTCCTCCAATTGCGGACAAGGTCATTTCTCGTGTGTATACTTATTCACGTGTTTTGGATTGATTCATTGTTATTATATTGTATTCTCGGAGTAATACACTCTCCCATCTGCCAACTTCGGTCTTCTCTCTATACGTCCCGGGGTTGCAGTCAGTGTCTCTTGCATACCAAGTTAGCTGTCAACTAAGCGTGCGTATTATATTCGTTCTGGAACATATACATATACCATTAGCGCTTCGAAACCATAACAGTTATATAAACTTTAAGATCAAAATTTGACCTGATAGAGTAGTGGGTAAATGGATTAAAACATGAACAGAAGGATCCTAGGAGAAATTCAAATGATGATTCTTGGATTAGTACAGTAGTTCTACCATTCCATCAAGGTACAACTGAAGAGCTGCAAAGAATCTTAAGAAAACACCAAATTAGAGACTTTCAAGAATGCTCTAGTCCATTTAAAAGATAAAATTCCTTTTATCTCCACACAAAATTGTGTCTACAAATTAGGCTATGTCGATTTTGATGACTATTATACCGGGGAATTATCACGTGAAATCCTCATTCGGGTTAAAGAATATGCAAGCTACACAAAACAACCACCAAATAATCCTGTAGAACTAGAGAATCTACAAATCAAGTCGGCAATCGCGGTTTATGGAATCTATCACAGCCACAAAATTAATATTGAAAATATTAAAATTATTCAAAAAGATTTTCTAAACTACAAAGAAAGAAGAATAGCTGCAGCATTTCACATCACGTTAAATTTTAATACTTTCAACAGAAAGGAAGGCCTAACTATCCAGCCAACCTAAACAGTATTTCCAAAAACAGCACATCATATACAATTATCACAACAAAAGTGCATACACAAAAACAGATCGAATTTGTCATCTAGACTAATACTAATAATGGATAATAAATACAAGTTTGAATCGTTTCCTGACCAGCATAAGAATGACATTTATGCTCATATTACTATCCTGTATAGACAATGTGATCTGATCCGTCAGCATTTACTATTTAAACAATCGATTTCCACGAAGTTGAGAAAAATCAGAAGTTTATTTTCCCACTTCATTGGGATTTTAAAAACATATTTCATCTATAATCAGAAACATGTATCTGCAACTTTTAGTGAGCTGCTGTCTCCTCACAGATCCAGAACCACGTTGTCTGGCGCAGGAATCAGAGGCACTACGGCAGCAATAGACAGTCCAGGATCGCACATCTGGCGAGGCATCAGTCCTCATAATGTTGCAGATACGCCTTCTTCACAGGTGTCAAAAGCACGAAATCTAGGTCCAAAATTCCTATTAACTGCCCCAAAACTGTCTGACATGAATTAAACTATGCTATTGTACATAGTGTGATCAGTATCTCCACAAAATCAATGGGATTGATCGTGGTCATTACAAATATTCCAGCGGAAATGAGTTGTAGATTTATAACAATAGGAATTTTAACATGTAGTCGATAAACATTATAATCCAATGCAAATGTGGTTTAATTAGACGCTTTTTTAACGGGATTGATCGCGTCTGTAGTAATGACACAAGAGAAGATGAAATCAAGCTGTTGGCGGCAACACTAATACAGAATCACTACCCGTTGAAATTTATTAACAGATGTGACAGTTGTTAGTCTTCAGTTCTTAGGAATGTCTTCACCTGCTTGTCGTTTGGAGGTGAGTGGTTCAAATATCCTTATGGGGAAAAAAGGTTATCTGTTATTAGTAAGACATACTACAGAGCCAAGTTCATCACTGTAGAGAAGACAAAGTCTGTGATGAAGCATAAACTGAAACGACTGCATCACATCACACTATGTTTATCAGCTTACATGTGTGGGTAATGCTTAGGATTAGCGTGTCTTATCTATTCAGTTGGACTGCACCCAACAATATGTGCTGGTGAAATGCTTGTCCCCTCGAGGCCTCGCCATACCAGAAAGGTCAGTTGGATAATGGTAGGACAAAAAGCAGTTAACGTTATGATGTGATTTACTACTCTGTGAGAGAGATCCGACAGCGAAGTTGTAATATTGGTTGGATAGGGGTGTGTGACAGCAGTAGTGTTTTCCGTGGGTGACTAGCTATGCCATGCTAATGCTAGTTTTCCTATGAGAAGGTACGGGTTAACAAAGGTCGACCCTAAAAATAGCACATTCCCCTCTACCCCAAGAGATACAAATTTTGAGGATATGGGTTTATAGTTCGATTCGAAGATAAGGAACTTCAAACTTCCAAAAGGGTCATGTTTAGTCGTTCTCAAACAAATGTCACTTGGGCTATGAAGTCACGCATTAAACCTTTTTTAGGTTTTTTAGAAGAACCAACCTCCCACAATATACCCAGCTGGCAAGTGTCAACCGCCCTCACAATTCTGTCAGCACTCATATTTATTCAGATGACCACACACCTTTTGCATTCTTCTTAACTTCCAATATTCCTTCACGTCTCTCAGTCAACATTTCTACATCATTTTTGACTTCTCCCAGCTTTTGATAATGATTTGAGATCACAGAACAGCATCTTTGGTCTCCTTAAATAGCGGTACAAACCATGTATCGGTGCTTTCAATTTCTGTACCCTCAGTAAAACCGGCCAAGCTTCGCTAGCCAAAACTCTAGCATGTCAAGCCACGGATGTGCGCTGTGATAGTGAGACACGCATGCAGGACCCGAGTGCGGTAATTCACTTAACCCCACCCGGTCAATACGGTAAATCTACGAAATTCACTCTTTCTGTTTCCGGAGATTTGATCGCTAGTTCTCGCGGTTTTACTGTTGTAGGTATAGTATTGAATGCTAAGACAAAGTTCACAGCTCGACTGGATCGAAGTTGACAGTTGCTGATACGCTGTTCGACTGAGTGGCCTAGTGAAGACTAAAAAGGGAAAGTGAGACTCGACGTTATCGCTTTGTAGTTTTTCCTTGCGCACCCACTCACTGACCTAAGCTGGGAGGAAGTGAAGGATGAGTTTTACCGACAACTCTCTAGCCTCCTACTGAAATTCAAACGTTCAGATGTGGCTTTTACTGCAGACGATTTCAATTCACAAGTGGGTAGGATAAGTCAGACAAAAAGGCACTCAAGTGTCACTGGCTGAATTCCAGTAGAAAGAACAGATAACGGCGATCGCCTGCTAAAATTGTGCTCGGACAGCAACTTATTTCTGGCCAGCACAGATATGAAGACAGACATATTTCGAACGTGGCGTTTACCAACTCCAACTCAACAGTTGACACAAATGGACCATATCGACAACATTTTGCGCTGGAAAAGGGTCGGTGGAAGATTGCTGCTTCTTCTAGAGCAAGCTTTGAGGCAGCGGTCACGCGCTGATTCTAACACGTGTATATCTGCACTTAAATGGATGTATAAAAACTGAAGTAACAACACTACTGGGAGTGCAGTTCAACAATGAGGACAATAAAGCTACCTTCGGCGAGAAACTGGTTAGACAGTTATCGAAACAGAACAACATCATCCAACCAGAAGTCTGGGGCTATCTCCACAATCTGCCGTAAAACAGCGTAAGACTGTAAATGACTTCGATAAAGTGGTTAGAAAGGGTCAGTGGATCTTAACGGCTTCTTCTGAACGCATCACTGCAGGCTCCGAGCACAATGAGGAAGAGAACCAACTTAAATGCATGCTGACAAGAAATCTACGCAATGACTGTGAACAGTGGTGGGTATCGGAGGTTGAAGAGACGGAAAAGGCAGAGGTGATAAGCAACAGTAGACAGTTATTCAGACTTATCAAGGGGACTGAAGAGAAAAGGTCAGTGGTTAGTGAGACTATAGCAGAGAGGGACAGGTCTGATTCACTTGCATGGGAGACGACTGGAGCGATAAACACTTCGAGAAAAAGCTCAACTAGCTTCCAGCTACTATTCCATTGCTCGTTATCTAGTCAGGCCCTCATTGGAACTTTGACAGAGAAAGCTTTAACTGCACTCAAGCGAGGAAAGGTAATATGGTCAGGCAGACTAGTTCTACAGGTATTGAAGGGCGGTGGTAGAGAATGATTGATCAAGTTAACTGAACTTTTGAATAATGTATAGGAGTCATATATGATCCCATCTGATTGGTCTCAGTCATTGGTTGTCCCAGACTTCAAGAAATGTGCGGAGTCCTCTTGTGTTGACCACAGGGAAACCAGTGTGATGAACTGTGTCTAAGATTCCAAGTTGTATAACTATCAGATGTATGAGTGGAGCTCAGGGACAGCAAGCGCGGGAAAACCAGGCAGGTTACAGACCTGGCCGTGGGTGCATCAACCAGATATTCAACCTCTACCAGTGTTCTAGAACAAATGGACACTTAAGGACGCCTGACACTAGTTGCATTCCCCGACCTGAAGGTGGCATTCGACTCTGTCAATCGAGGTCTTTTCGCAGTGTCTCTCTGAAAAGGGTTCTGAGTAAGTACCACACTCTGATGAAGGCTCTTTACTCGAACACCAATCGGCATGTCAGAACCTTTGGTTAGTTGTCTGGTGAGTTGTGTACATCGATTGGTGCCCGTCAAGGGCGTCTACTCTCTCCATTCCTATTCAGTTTTGTCAGAGACGTAATTAGGGAAATCTGTGTCTACCCGTTTGACTTTACGGGGATCGACCTTGTAACAGTAGACTCTGTAGTAGATGTGGATAGCGCGGATGATAATCTTGTTAGGTCAAGATGCAGTCTTCTAGACACCTTAAGTGGCAATTTCAGAATGTTTGTGATGCGTTTCTCTCCACCCATATGAATTTTGTTGCTTCGAATATGGTTTGAGGTGGTGTCCTGTCTAACAATAGGTAATGAAGTAGTTCAGCACTTCCCCTACCTGAAAAGTCGAATCAGTCCTGCTAGGTAATTGACTGACAAAATCTCCGCACAGAAACAAAAGTTTCGATTATCAGTTGGTAACTTAACCCATCAATAGTGTCCTCGGGACATTCAGTGGTTGAGTGTAATGCGCTGCAATTTGTTCTGCTTTACTGCATGGTTGCGAAACATGGCCATCGAAGGTAGAGAATATGGGAAGGCTTCATGTGATCAACCACTGTTGCCGTCGTCGCATAGGCAACGTGTCATGCTGTCACCATGTCAGTAGCACAGAAGTTAGGTGTAGAGTTTTAGGGGGGAGGGGAGAGTTTTTATGGGGTTTTGGGCCGTCATTGGTTCAGATGGCTTGGATATGTGTTACGCATGCTTACAGGACATGGCTCAGGTGTGTCCTCACAATATCTTCATCTTAACTGTCATACTGTAGTATTCAGTATTTTCTTATTCCTCCTTGTTACCTTATTACGACTTCCTACCACTTTTACTACTTTCTTCTTGATTTCATTTTTCCTCTTAGTGCTTTCTCGCTTGATATAGTGATATAAGAAGTGGCACCTTGAACTATTACGCAGTAATCCCAGGTACCATCTTGATTTCGTCTGTCCGCCAGAGATGACATAAACTGGGAAACACCAGAGCGGGCGTTCCGAACTCAAGATGAGATTTCATCAGCAGCCAACCCATCGATCCTGGTACCACTCTCCAAGTAGGTGAAGTAGTCAACGCATTCGACCACCTCACCCCATAATCTTAAACTGGGAGCAGCTAAAAATCAGTCTTGAAGCACCATGTTACATTTGACAGGTGTGAAAAGAATGCCACACCTACTGAGATTTTCTCTCAGTGCGTTTCCAAAAATACATTTCATCCGCGTTTTCCCCTTACAGGATTATGTCATCTTCGCACTCTCAGTCATCCAAGTATCCCACAGGAAGTAAGTCACTTTATAATAATTCCAGTTTTTGGGGATAGACTAATTTAAGGTGGTATTCACCATGGATCGATATCAGTTATAGAACCACTGAAAACTTTGAGTCACTGGAAAACTGTCTCGTCCTAGTGTGGGACTCCTCAGCAGTGCGAACCCATGACCTCATCAGCAATCCAACCCAGGCCTATCAGTTCTCGCTATGAGCACGTTAACCATTCAGTCACCTGGTCAGAATTCTAACAACTGGGAACTATTGATAGCTGTGTCCATCCAACTTTTTACATAAACCCTTACACAAGTGAGTGAGCTCCAGTATAGAGTTTTGATAAGCAAAACTCATTGTTTTTAATGACAGATACTGTGATAATACGTCTAGGTCAATAGAGTCAGATAACATCTTCAGGTTGAGAAATATGGTAGGTGACGACCGCCGGTACGTATATCTATGCTCGAAAACTTGTCGAAAGGATCCAGGTATCCTCATCTACGTCTAAGCCTCCCTGATTTTCCCGAGTTTGTTTTCCTTGAGCCTAGTTGGGTGTCAGAAAACTAAAGACGCCAAGATCTAGGACTTGATGTTAGGCAAATTGACTCCACCATGCTGTAATTAAGGCAGAAGGAAGGAATATGCATAGAAGCCAATCTGCCAACAGGGGTCGAGCAATACAATCTATTATAACAACAGGGGAATTACAGGTATCAATCGATAATAATGACTCCCTGGTGCTTGTCACAAGGAGACTTCTCTCCTTCCTTATAAAATGGAATGAAATGAAGTTGACTAGTCTAGTGGGACTACCACTGATTACTTAACAAAATGCAGGGTCTTGTGAACGTGTTGAGCAGAAATCTAAGTATGCTTGGCGTGCGAAAAACTGGCACCTGCTAAAAGTGAGATGATGCTCCGGGACTGGTCTGCTGCAAATTCTCCCAGTTTAATAGTAGGGTATGAAGAAGTGTAATGTGCCGACCACCTCACTTACTTGGAGAGTTGTGTCAGTCTGAACGGGCTGGTTGCTGACCAGATTTCAGCTCAGAGATGGGCCGTTTGGCATTCGCCAACTCGCGTCATCTATGTCACCAGTTGACGAGATATCCATCTACCTATCAAAAGACAAGTGTACTGCGCTGCAGTTCGTTTTGTTCTGCTCTGCTATATGCCTTTGAGATATGTCAGTTACTCTACTCCGTACTTTCCTAAATCCATCCTCAAAACCCTTGGATGGCAAACCGTCAGGCCCTGCTCCCTTAAATAGTTAGAAACAACCCTCTCAACTCTGACATCTACGTCCCATTCAGGTTCAGGCTCAATGGTGGGGACTGGAGCGTTGCTGTGGTCCAATCGAACTGTGCTTCAAAGTGTTCCAACTAACATTTTCGCCGCGTAACCCAATAGGTCCTCAGATGGTCTCATTAACTACAATCTTCTTCTTGTCGGCATCCTTAGTCAGTTTAAAAATTGCCGATGACTATCTCATATTGAAGGCCTCTCCATCTCCTTCACCGTGAAATTTGTTTATGCAAGGTGGGTGAGAGAAAGAGGAATATTTTTGGATGACCGCGGACCACAAAGGATATTTGCCTGAGGTTAATCACGCAGAGCTTTTTCAGGATTGCTGGTCTGAGATCCTTTTATGCTAACGCCAAAAAAGAAACCCCGACACTAGAATACCCCAGTGCAGGGAGGAGTGTATCATTTTTGAGGCCAAACTTTTCTAACCTCGACCTACTCATAGGAAAGGCAGCATTAGCATGACACTGCTGGTCATCCGCAGGAAACACTCTACTGCTATCACACATCCACCAACTAGCATTACAACTTCGCTCTTGGATCCCTATCACAGCGTAGTAAATCACATCATAACGTTAACTGCTTTTTGTCTAACTACTATCCAACGGATCTTTCTGATACGGAAGAGCCTCGAGGGGACAAGCGTTCCACCATCATAGGTTGCTGGGTGATACGCGAGCACGATTATCACTTCAAGACAGCAGCTATTGGTCGCATAGTAGGTAAACAGTTCTTTAGAAATGTAAAAATTTAAATACACAGACCAAATTTCGATGTGATCATTTTCGTGATTACAGAGATCGTTTACGAGAAACTATAAAACACTAGAAACAAATTTTCCAGGAAAATAGGTCTGACTCCGTTAGCTTTTATTCGCAAACATACAAACTCAATAGAGACCTGGTTTTCTGCAGTAACAATTGGAGTGTAGGTGTATGCAATTAAGATGAACGAAATGGACCAATTGTCATTTAGTTTGATTGAATAAGCTTATATGCGTATTTATGAGGAAATAATTGTTTTCACTTAGTATGATCTTGTATTAAAGAACGGCATTTCCTCGACGATTCTGTTGAAGGCTCTACATCAACCAAAGGAGTAATCATCCAACTCTTTGCAACAACAAAATAAAATCAAAGTAACTTGTATAACACACTTACCTTTACAGTTTCAGAATCTCGACACGTAGCGTTATTCGTCAACCATGACTGTCCATTTATGTACAGAATTTCTTTTGGATACTGTATACTTTCAGTTAAATTCATTACGTTACCAGACTTGGTATGTAAAAACAATAAACCAGCCTTTAAAATATCAGCTCCAGAACATAATCGCACAGTAAGTGGTTCAACAAGCGATAAGAATATTGTGTTCGGTAGACTTGTAGCTAAAAATACAATAGAGTTTATGATAATTAGGAATAGTTATTAATGTAAATATAAATCGAGAACAACGGTCATAATTTCCTAGTTACACTGCCACGAAATGAAAAGATACACGTTAATCAGTGATAACGGAGATTTTCGTGTGTTACGACGCGAATTACATAAGTTATTTTCATGGAAGGCATAATAAAAACGGAAGCAGGTAAGAGAGGAATTTAAACTATTAGTTCGATAGTAGAAAGTCTCCTAATATCACTCATATAGAATTTTATGCCATTACATTAGTCTCTGAAGAGTTAACTAGGGTTTGATTTCCGGACGGTATACAAAACAATATCTTTTTGTTCAATAACCCTTCCTGATATACCTTCAAAAGTTGATTCAGATAACGAGTTACAAGAATTTTAAAGACAACCGAAGATAGTTCATACCTTCTCCGCATTATTCCCACATAACTACTTTGGGATCAAACTCAGAATAAAGTAGTTACCAAATAATTTTGGAATTTTAACATATCAAAATCAATGATGATATGCATTGTTCACAATGCACAGACTAAAATCACTAATTTACACGTAAAGTTTGACAATAGGCTGACTACCTGCATAGTTTCTACTCAAATCATTCGGTATTTTTTTTAAAAAAGATTCTTGATTTGCATAGGACCTATTTTGAAGAAATACCTTTTCCAAAATTTAAGAACTATTCAGCCTATTTTGATCTCACCCACACGACTTAGCTTCGTGATCTACTTGTGGATTACAAAGGTAAATGAAACGTATAGAAAAAATACCATTGCTCAATAACTACCCTATAAGTTTATGCAAATCGGCACGAAATGGTAGGAAGAATGTTACTTTGAGTGTATCTAGAGATACAAATAACAGTGACATCAATGACACTTTGGGAAAAGAATTTACGGACTTAATTAATTCGCCGTAAAAAGAAAGGACATAAAATACCTTACTTAGGACTCTTAATTACGCCAAGATTAGAGTTAAGTTTAAACCTGAGAAAATCACCTAAAGATAAACCTTCATCCGCTAAAGGACACTATCGAACCTACTACGCCAAACATTTGGTCGATCAAATTCCATGCACTATGATGTCAAACTAGCTGACTACGGTCGACTAGATCAGCAGAACATGGAAAACCAACATATTTTCTATATGTAAACTTCAGTCTCAGAAAATAGCTCAACTATAGCTATGTATACTATTATACATTATCACACAAGTGGAAACGGTAAAGCGAGAAATTTTAAAATTACCACGATAGGTAGAGACATACTAATAAGTGAAGATTTTCAGCAGAGATACTCTTCAGTGAATTTATCTTCAAGCTGTACAATCGTATATACATGATATTTGAAAAATTATAGCCCGTGAGGAAAACTAAACACTATATGATGATGACGACAATTATAATAAAACGGATGATGGCATAGGCACTTGTGATCATGATAACAATTGAAGTATGAATAATAACAAGGTAGATTACGTAATATATATGGAATGGTTCATAGAAGGTATATGACTCAGAAGAGGTTGAAATAATTGATGAAAGTGGTAAATCAAATGAGTATTATGTAGTAGGATTAGACAGGTTGGTCAAGACAATTAAGTGAAATAACGCCCAAACTAATCAAAGTGAAGGTAATTATGATAACAATAATAGTGATAAATGAAGGATACAGAAGGGGAGGGGAAACTAATAGGGGTGGGAAAATGTTATGACCATGATAAAAACAATGACTGTACATACTTCTTTTGTACACACAGATCAGGTTTTAGTTCATGAATAGCTAACGCCTTCGCTGTTTTAATGAGTTGAAAACGAAGAAAACGTGAAAGGTTTTGGCGGATTTGATAAATAATTTTAAAGTCATTGCCTAGGTTTGTTGAGTGATGGAAATCAATCAAATGTTCTAGAATCGAACTTCTAACAGACTTTCTTTCACCTTGATAAAACCAAGCAGGAACATGTTGTCGTATACGTGTATAAAGCAATCTCTGGCTACGATCGATGTACCTTGCTCCACAAGAACAGGTGAACTGGTATATGCACAAGTGTGCCACTCACCGAAACTGTCTGTTATGTATATGACTATATTGATGCACATAATTTAGACGTAGGACTACCAACCAGCTGCTTGACAGAGCTTTTGTTGAGGTGAAATCTATAAACAGAAGGATGGAATTGCGATGGGGTCACCATTCAGACCATTATTGGCAGACTTTTTCATGTTAAAACTAGAGAATTTTCAACTTTGTCAAACTATTATTAGGTTTGACTTTGATAGATAACTGGAAAATTTTACTATTAAAAAATTGTGCGATCACTTTGATTTGATTATGAGAAATAAATTGTGTCAGAAACGTCATCTTGTGATACGTGTAGTGCAACAAACTAAAATAGAATTATACTTTACCACAGAGCTTAAATTCTACTCTTGAACCAATATGCAATCTCAAAATCGTGAACGGAAGCATTAGACTATACGAGAAAACTAAAATCGACAGTCGGATACTTTAGATGGTATGTTTCGAAGTTGATTATTATGGCGCAGCTTTATTCAGGCATTATTTTTCTCTTATTTGGTATTTTACATTCCCTTGCTAGCTTTATACTTTTTTCTTTCAGCTGTACGTATTTCTAGGACTTTGGAAAATGTTGTTTTTCTGTACATTTCTGTTCCATTCATTTTTAGTTTGTATGCGATGTAGCAATTTGAACTGTTAGGAAATAACGCTAGATTCTACTTTGTACGATGATGAAGGTTGAAAGTTTGAATAATAAATAAGAATAATCTTAAGTTTGCATAAATCTTGTAAATAAATCCAGTTACTGGTACGATAAAAGTATAGAGAAGAATTATAGTAGGAATATCTTGGTTGTGTTACGTTCTCTGAGCTAGATGCTTTAATTATATTTCAAGAAAACATCATTAGCATTAACTTCAATACTGGACGCAACACATAAAGGCTATCCAGTTAACCAACAAGTTTTCTCTATTGTAGTAAGAATATGTTTTAAAAAAAAACTGAACTTAATAATTTGCAGCATTTAACACAACCTTTTAATTCAAATAATTTAGTGAAAATGATTTACTACAATAGTTAATTCAGTATATCATACCAAATACAATTGTAACTATTCAATGGAAATTGTTATAATACTATTCAACTGTTGAGATAGATAATAGTAGAGATTTGTAACTCAGGATGAGTGAGGATGTTCTTCAAGTCTTAAAGGTTTTTCTCAACAGAAATACATCGAAAAGAACTCAAGTCTACAATGCAAATGAGTGATTATCACAAAGAATGCCAAAAGTATTCAACTGAAGCCTTATGTTAAAAAAAAAGTGGAAAATAGGCAAGAATTCGAATTAGTATTTCGATTGTAGGCTTAGTATGTACACCATGACAATATATAAGTCATTGTCAGTTGGAAACAAAATGAAACCCGGTGTTACAGTTTAACGGTCTAAGTTACCACATCTTACTGCTAATCTGAGCTATGTGAGGGAATGTAGACCATCTAGTTAAGGGTTCTTGAGATGAAAGGAATCAGTGATTGAGGACTCTTGGTAACATGATTAAAAACTGGTCACAATGACATAGATGGATCCCCACACATTAACGTCTTCTAAAACTTGAATATTCGCAATAACCTCTATCTTCAGATTGTTTATTCTGTCAAACAACTTTGTCTACTTTGATATCAGTCTTTTTCGATCCAATTGTTCTGTATATACTACTGTGAAGTGTGACAACTTGAGCTGATGCACCTATCTGCAAGGTTCTACGCTGATTTTATCAGTCGGTCATTTCACAACAAGAAGAAAATGAAGTGAATCAGGATTAATAGGAACACGACGATACAACAGTTAGAATGAGGATAAGGTGTGGATGCATCCGTGCTGTAATATTTATCGTTTACACTTATCGATTTTGGGTGGCAAACAGAACTTAAGTAGCAAATTTGCATTTCGGTACATCATTTAGATCAATCGTCATAGACTTCAAAGACTGATGTCACATTTTAGTGTGACTAGCCTTAATATTCTCTCCCCCATAATCCTATCTTCCTTAACATTATACGTTATGATAGACACTAAACTCGATATGCGTAACACATATCCCATCCACCTTCACCGATGAGGGTTTATTACCTCATCAACTTGACTTTTTCCACCTTAAACTCTAAGTCTAACTTCAGTATTACCAGTATGTCAACAAAAAGTTATTCAAAGTTAAACAAGCTTAACCATTAACTCACCTAAATTAGCAGCTGTATTTAATAAAGTCATGTATGTTCCACCCACAGCTGGATCACTGATTCGTGCATGAAAAGACATTTGAGTAATGAACATAATATTGGTGAATATTGAGTATACAATCAATTGGCTTGCTATGAGTACATAAAATGACCATGAAAATGAGGTGTATGTTACAACTCCTTGAACAAATGTTGATTTCAATGTATTGTTGTCAGCACTCATATGATTATTCTGCATGATAGGAGAGATTTCTTCCGAAATCTTAAAATATGGTGCAAAATAAACCAATGGAACTGATAATGATGCTAAAAATAAACTGTAATAAAAAAACGCTTGTGAAATATCAACAAAAAAACCCATATATATATACGAGATAACTAACATCTTTTCTACTGGATGATGACTGAAGGTGAAATGAAAATTTGGACCGTGACCAGATTCGAACCAGAGACCATCGGGTTTCTGGCTCGATGCTCTACCAACTCACCTACGAGGTCCAACTCCTCACCAGACTTTTAGTTCACTTTAATCACTAAGGGTTTTACCCGACTATCATATAAACTGGTGACGCGTTACTACCACTTGATCGTATTCACACTGGCTGACTAGTTAGTTGGCAGAGTATCGGGTCGGAGACCCAGTGGTAGCTGGTGCGAATCCAGCCGTGGTCCAAATATTCATTTTACATTTAATCATCGTCCAGTATAAATAGTTGTCTGCCAAACTATGGCTATCTCAGGTAGTCAAATGATAATTAACATCTTTTCGTTATATCATGAAAATACCAAATATACTAGATTATTGAAAAAAACACTTGTTTACCATTAAGCTGGTAACGGTAATTGTGTTGATCACAGAAACCGGGATAGACGATCAACAATTTAGGTTTTTATGAGATGAAAAATCTACTAGAAATCTACTGTTGTACTTGACAAAGCTGTTGATGATTTCAATATGATTTAATACCTATTCGATGTTGGACAGAATTACAATTCAAAAGTGTTTCCCATCAAACCATTCTCACCCAAATATTGATACTTGAAGACTTTAGCCTTTAATGTAGCACGGCTTACTTTCTTTTAATAAGAGTTGTATATAAGGTTTTATAAACACATGCTGAATATATTTCTCACCAATGCCCAACACTGGCTTTATTTCTCAACCCAAATGCGGTATTAGACTAAGTCAATCGAGAAGCCTTATGGATGTCTCTTTGCGAAAAGGTGCTGAATAAGTGTATCATTCTCTTGAAGGTTCGGTACTAGAACTCCTGTGGGTGAGCTAGAGCCTCTGGTGCTGTTCAACTTTATGACACGCTTTTTACGGAGGAGCCCAGTTGTTGGACTTTATAGGCATTGATCTTGTCACAGGAGACCTTTTAGTAGATGTAGAGTACACAGGTGACATAAGCTTATCAAGTAAAAATGCTGACAAAGTGAGGAGTTTTCTGAACAACTTTAGTGGCAATCTGCTCGGGATGATATGACATGACATTTCATCACTCATTTCAATACACATGGATAATTATGGACAAGAATGCAATTTCGACAATGTACAAATTTTGAACGATAGAGGAAACACAAAGAATATCAGAGAATTCCTAGAAGCTTGGCATTCAGAACAGTCAATCAGCAATCAATAGATGCATATACAGACCCAATCTATCAACCAATAAGAAAGATGATAAACGACACAAAGGTCAGAGGGACAGCCAACAGGAAAGTCTATCCAGTCAATAACACAACAATCGAAGGAAACAACCAATCACAGACCACATCATCAGAGCAAGCCACTGAATCATTGACGGAGAGATATTGACATCCTCATAAAACTGAAGTTAGTGCTGATGATGTCGCTGTCTAGAAAGATGATGAAAGCCTCACGATTAAACAACCCATCTCACAGAACACAATACAACCAAGACTATCCGCCTGAGTTACAAATATTCTCCACTATTTCACTACCAATTTGTATTTACATTATATCAGTATTCTAGCCAGATACCAGCTATATATACATAGCTATTTGGGTTTCTCTTTTCAACACGATGTATGGAAATCAATATGATAGTGAAAGTTCATTCAAAATGATTGGTTTTAATTATAGAAAAATATTAAAAGGGTGATAATCGACCCTGAAGTTTGAGACATTAATTATGTAACTGGAATACTTGTTATATTCACAGCGGGTTGTGTTATATTGGCGGATAAGTGGTAAACGTCAATATCATATAATCATTATCGGTCGTATTGTTCTACTTATTGTAAAAGTTAATCTACACCCAGTATGAATACTAGTCTGCTAAACTACGGCTATCTCAGATAGTCAAAATAACAATCAATATGATGTTCCCTTTCCCTAATTCACTTAGATTTGGATGAGATGTTCTGACTAGGGAGCCAGTGTGAGTACGATCAACAGGTAGTAACGCATTATGAATTCATATGGTAGTCGGGCAAAACCCTTGGTGATTAAAGTGAAGTAAAAATCTAATCAGCAGTTGAACCTGGTAGATTAGTTGGTAGACCATTAGGCTGGGAATCTGATGGTCTTTGGTTCGAACCCGGCCACGGTCAAAATTCTCATTTCACCTTCAATCATCACCCAGTATCAATACTAGCCTGCCTAACCACAGCTATCTTCTTAAATAGTCAAAATTATAACTTGTTAGGTAAAAGTATTGTATAACTCAGTTCAATAGCTTTCGATTGACTTTCTTATCCATTTCTGTATGACTTATATTTCGGAAACAACTGCATATTAATATCAATTACTGTGTATTATTTCATTTTCTGTGCATAAAATTGGCTGTTTCATTTTTATAAACTATAGTGCATTGACTGACAAAAACAACGTAGAACCTCCCCCCACAAGTGCATAAGCCTCAAGTTGTCACACTTCACAGTACTATACAAAGAACAAGTGGATTGATAAAAAGTGATGTCAAAGTACAGAGAATAAACAGTCTGAAGATAAAATTTAGTGTAAATATTCAAGGAGTGAATGCATCTGTGTCATTGTGACCGATTTCCAGCCATGTCACCAAGAGTCGTCAACCACTGATTCCTTTCGTCTCTGCACCTCAACCAGGTAGTCTACATCGCTCTACACGACCAACAGTCAAGAACTTCATCAACTGGTGCCACACATTGGTTTGGCCACCGAGAACCCTCTTCCAACTTGATTCAGTATCCTCTAGCATGACACATCGAGGTAGGGGGTGGCTCAGCATGCGTAGTATATGTCCAATCCATCTCACCGAATGAAGATTCACAACCTCATCAATCGACTTCAGAGTCTTACCTGGTACCCTTTGCCTCCCCTCAACACCGCTTACACGATGATTCCACCAAAGGCGAGCAATGCTGCGAAGGCATCTGTTATCAAAACCCTGTAATCGCTTCACACCTACTTCTAACGGTCATGTCTCACAAACATATAGTAGAGCAGGATAAAACGAACTGCAGCGCAGTATACTCGTCCTTTAATATGTAGACGGATATCCCGTCAATGGGTGACACAGATGACGCAAGTTGGGAAATGCCGAATGGGCCTGTTACGTATCGACAAAAGGCCGCCAATAGGGGAGTTGTTTTCAAGTCATGATCAGGTCGTGATTTATGTATGCGCTGACATGGGAACCTGATTGGAGAAGTTCGACCTCACACAGGAAATCGGATTGGTTCATTTATGGCTTCACTTTCTGAGAGTTTTGTAAATTCATATGTCATGTATTTGCCTACTAAAAGTTGTCGTTGTTCTTGCAGTCACAGGCCGTCTTTGTCTTCTGATTTTTTCGCGGCTCAGTGACGAAGAAGGTACTGAGGGAGGTCAGTCGTAAAGGTATTCGGTTGGGGTGTCTGTTGAGTCTCAGTATCATTATACCTACGCACGCAACCACCACTCGGTCACAACAGGGCCATCTCTATTTCAGCTGAGATTTCGTCAGTAACCAGTCCGTTAGGCTTGATGAGACTCCCAAAGTAAATGAAGCAGTCGACACATTCCATCATTTCACTCCCCATCAACTAACTTGGAATACTTAAGGAAGATCAGTCCTGAAACATCATGTTATATTTGACAAGTGCCAGTGAAATGCATCTCAGACACCCAGATTTTTGCTCAAAGCGTTCAGAAGATCCTTCATTTTGTCAGCGTCCCCACCTAGCAGGACAATATCGTCTGTATATCCCAAGTCAACCAGATGACCTCCAGAGAGCAGATCGATCCCTGTAAAGTAAGATGTGTTTAAGGCTATGTACATTAGTATGTTTGTAACGAAGTTATTCAGGAACGGCGACAGTGGACGTCTAGGGTGGACACCACGAGGTGTCATCAATTCACACGACGACTCTATATAAGTCCTGACTCAGCTACGTGAGTTCGAGTAGAGCCTTGATTAGCGATTAATACTTGCTCGGTAATCCTTTCACAGTCAGACTGATACAACATCTTGCGGTCGACAGAGTCAAATGGTGCCTTCACGTCAACAAATATGGCAAGTGTCGCCTATCGGTAGGTATGCTTGTGTTCCAGAACCTGGAAACTTCAGGTAGCAAACTGTCAAGTCCTGCTGCTTTGTATCGTTTCAGGTTCGATACAGCTTTCTCAACTTCAACGAGAGCTGAGGGACCGATATCTACGTCCCATGCAGGTTCAGGGTAGATGTTGGGCAACTGAAGTTTTGCTGGAGGCCAGTTGAACTGTGCTTCAGAGTGTTATCAGTGTCCCATCTTTTTCGGTGATGGTTTCACTCACTATCGTCTTCTTCGTGCCAGTATCCTTAATCAGCTTAAATAGTTGCAGAGTGTTACCTAAAGTTGATGCCTTCTTTATCTATCTCGTTTCTGTCACCACTACTGCCTGCGATGGACGCGAAGACTCTTGGTCAATTTACGTCTGAGTTTCATTCTCTCTTTTGCGTGGTTTATGGTGCACTAGGGTCACACAATTTAGGTGTATATTTATACATGATTCAAACTGCTAACGAATATAAGGACAATAAGTCCTATACTTTGTGATCTGTTGTACGCAGTTGGGAGGGCTGAATCGTGGACTCATCGTGTGGGTGAATTTGAGCATACAAGACGGGACAAATACAAGTGAAATGAATCAAGTTGTACGTCAGTGTTACAACTGAACCAGTAGAATCATGTACATTACATAATTGCAACTAAACAAAGGCATCACAATGTCGTTGTTTGGATGTGGATGGGAAGATGCTGCTATTCAGAGGACAAACAAGGTGAAGAAAGTGAACTGTCATCATTTTCCACCTACACGAGAGACGGGCGAAATAAGTGATGAAGACTTGTGACAAGACAAATGACAAAAATTATCTGCATATGCTGAATAAAGTGTGTTACAACCCTTAGAGATGAGTGTTGACAAGCACGGATGCAAGAACCAAATGTATCTCTTCCGTCAAAGGACAAAACACTTAACTAGTAATTTGGAGACCATTATTTTGAATCCATAGGTAATGAAGGTTGTCCGTCAACCTTGTTTATGATTCCTATATCAATAGATCTGTGGTTTTAGGCAGTGGGTGGGTTCAAAACGTGCTACATGTTCTGAGGTCTGGGCAGCCACATAATATCAACCCTTTAAACAATAGATATAGTTTATCGAGTAGTGAAAGGACCTGGAAATGTTTGCTGAATTGCATAAGGTACAAATGTTTGAATGAAAATTTCCTTAAAATTCAATTCACACTTTATAAACAGACAAAAATATCTGATCACTACTAGTGATTGTGCAAAACGTATTGTACACAAATTCATAAAAATGAGTTACCGGGGTAATATAGCCCAAATGTAATATTTTAACACTCTTGGGCCATTTGTTATCCGAGTGATAAAAAGCGGCAAAACTGCTTGAAGTGGTAACAGAAGACTTCCAATAAATGCCAGTCGTTCTTTTGGTAAACCTTGCTCAATTAGTTTTAATCCAGAAATGGTATCCGCTGCGGCAAAACATACCTAGATGATTTTAATGAAAAATATACTTAGTTCTTCATCGTATAAGCTAATAACGTTATCATTATGTGAATCTGTTGCATCAAAAAATGATGTAAAGGAAATAAAGGAGGTTTCTAAGATGTAAATCTGCATACATTTAAGCGATAAGAAATTATTTTTCTACAGTAGAAACCACTTCAATTTAAACTTAGGATGAACTTAAGGTGGGCTGCTTAAACTTGGGCTATCAAAAAAAATATATATATTCCATCGAATTCTTCCCTTTCAGTTTGTTTTAATCTGTTAAATGTTTTCTAAACGCATCAAGTACTCTCGCACTTTTTTAAAATGTTTTCGAACTTTCGTCTCTCAAGTTAAGAACGAAACAAAGGAAAAACGTTACATTAGATAGAAATGGATTTGTAAACAATCGATAAGTTGTAAAGGTTTTCTTCTCTGAAGAAACGATTTCTACGAAGTCGCAAAAATGTCAGAAATTAATTTTTCTACTTCATTGGGATTTTACAAACATATTTCATTTATAATCTATTTACCTAATGCTTAACTTATTCAACTTTATCAAGTCAAATTTTGGTCGTGAAGTTTATAATATTCAGACATAATAATTATTTCTTTAAAAAATATTGTTTGGAAAGCAAATATGTTGAAATATTTCATGCTGAAAGTTTCATACTGTATCTTACATGTTATTTGGAATAAAGTGATTATTACTATTATTATTACTACCATTATTATCACTATTATTGGGCTAGGTTGATTCATCGATGTCAATTATAAATGATATTAAAACAGCATATTTTGGTTGCACATTACAGACTACGGTAATAAGTTGACAAACTGTATTATACTAGGTGATAACTGAAGGTGAAATGAAAATTTCAACCGTAGCCGAACTCCAACCAGCAACCATCAGGTTTACAGGCCCATGCTTTACCAACTTAACTACGAGATTTGATTGCTGACCAGATTTTTCTTTCACTTCAATCACCAAGGGTATTGCCCAACTACCATGTGAATTCGTGAAGCGTTACTATAGCTTGATTGTACTCACTTTGGTTACCTAATCAGGCCTTTGCATCCCAATCCAAATTTAAATGAATTAGAGAGAGAGTGCATCATAGTCGGACCTCTTAGCTCAGTTGGTAGAGCCTTGGGCTGGGAACCCGGTGGTCGCTGGTTCGAATCCAGCTACGGTCCAAATTTTTATTTCACCTTCAATCATCGTCTAGTGTAAATACTAGTCTGCCAAACCACAGTTATCTCAGATAAACCAAATGATAGTATTCTGGTGGCCAAAACTCGATGATGTTTTGAGAAGGTGAAAGAGTTGCTGCGACTGCCTGCAAAATGATAAACTGTATTGTCACAATGGACAACTGTCCATATAAACGATTACCGAAACATTCAATTTCGATCATCTGACAAGTTGAAAAGAAAACTTTCAGCAAGTATGCATAGGTTTATGAGACTATGTGAGAAGACTTAATAATACTTCCTGAGATGAGGTTTGAACACATAGTTCACTGGTTAAAATTTGATTACCGAAATCAATTAAGTGATAGCTATTTAACAGACTGTGTGAGGAAAATACCAGCTTATGAGCTACTTACAGTTTTTGATGTTAGGAGACAACCAGTACGTCAAGAGTAAACCCCTTGATGATTAACTTTCATTGTTTATATTCAGGAACTATTAGTTAGACGCTGGATTTCGCTGATGATTTATGTCTAATGTCGCACAGACTCGAAGATCTATAGGCAAAGACCAACAAGTTGGCAAAAGACACAGCGAAGACAGGATTTCAAGTGAATGTAGAGAAGATAGAGGTGATGAAGATACCCAACCAACAAAAACAACAAGCATCAATCACCATAAACGGGAGAAATCTAAACGAAGTTGTCTTTTGCACCTACCTGCCTAGGAAGCATCGTTTCAACTACAGGTGGCACAGGCACAGATGAGGATGTTAAAGCCAGGATCGCAAAGACAACAAGACAGGCCTTCATTAACCTGAAACCAGTGTGAAAATCTACTGCACTCAGCACAAATAACAAGATCCGGATTTTCTAAACCAATCCAGTCAAGTCAGTGCTGCTATATGGTTCAGAAACTTGGCGCGTTACGAAAGGGATTTCCAACAAACTACAGATAATCATCAACAACTGCCTTCGCTCGTTCTTGAAGCTCAGATGGCCAGAAAGAATGGGCAACAAGGAACTCTGGCTGGTGACGAACCAGCCAAGAACCTATCACCTAACAAATATGCAGAAGGAAGTGGAGATGGATCGGGCATGCACTGAGAAGGCCGATTAGGGACATCACGCATCGCGACAGGCCCTCGAGTGGAACCCAGATGGTAAACGACGAGTTAGGCGTCTGAGGTGAGGGTGACATGGAGGAGATCATATGGAGAAGAAATGAGAGCTTCTGGGCAGTTGTGGAGCCGGGTTCAAAAGATTGCAGGGAAGAGAGTGGAATGGAGACGTGCTACTGAGGCCCTATGTTCCACTAGGAACCCAAGGGACAAATAATAATAATAATAATTAGTTAGACGCTATAAGCAACTCTCAATATAGGCAGGTTGTGATACGTTGACCATAGTTGACGAGTGGTAGTTTCTTAGTAGATTTTTATCTTTCATTTGTAAAGATTTGCAGAAAACGTAGACAGGAAAAGATGACATGTGATATATGAAAACTACTGCAGCATATTATCGAAGTTGAAAACTTCAAGATCATCTTTACTGTCTACAAATATGATAGCAGAAACTGATAAAAATTGGATCAGAAAGATTTCTAATGCTACTTTTTTTAATCAAACCTACTACAGTGTCGATCTTATTATCTTTTTGAAGCCTTTTTATGCAAAAATATGTCCACAGCACGTCACTTGGTGTTTTTTGAGTGCAAGTCAGAAGACGATAACTTTATTGTAAGCTATGGATGTTATCGTGATCACAGATAAGATTATAGTAATCTACATACGATACAATCGATGCTGGCATAATTTGTGATGATAAGAGATTAGTGTAAATCGGTAAATCAGTTTCAATCAGCATTAATCTCTTACCGATTTTCAGGAATTTCAATCAAAGTAAGTAGGTGACAACTATTACTAGTGTTCCATAGGAGCCACTATGCAATACAATTGACGATACGACGCTTTACATACGATATATGGACGACACCTGTGATTGTAAAGATATGAACTAAGCATCGGAATTATTTCAGATCTTTAATATTCTGCATCTAGACATTACTTTTACAGTAGGGAAAGAAAATGAGAACCACTTCAACTTTCTGGATCTGAGTATTGAGAGAGTGAGAGAGTTCAAAGGGGGGGCCATCGCAAAAAGGTAGGGGCTGAGTGATAATAAAGTTATAGAAGCTCCTACCCAACGAATCATAAATGTGGCCTTGTTGGAGAACTTCTTGATCGTGTAAGAAATCCATGTTTAAAATAATAAATTAAGAAAGACAAAAATCCTCGAGAAGTGTCTACCCGATAATGGGTATTACAATTAGTTTATTCATAAAAATGGAACAGATGAATGTCCCTACCGTTAGAAATAAATGAGTTTTCAATCGCTTGCCTTTTAAAGGAGATAATGATTCAAAGGAGATAAAGACTGAAGGTTGGCATGACAAGAACCTTTCCAACCACTAAACTTACTTGTGTATAAAATACTACTGACACTGTGTATCAATCAAGAACCGATACATAGCCAACTAACATCACCTGTAACTGTATCCATTAGTCCACATTTATCTATTAAAGCCATTATATTGAACGGAGAGATGGAAGTCTATCCGGTTTGGCAAGCATACACCGAAGAATCTGAGACTGAAACGAACACAATCACTGTCCAGTATGATCACTTAAAATCTAACCGATACAGGAAACAAAATGGGTATCTCTACAGCCTTTGAAATAATCCATAAACAGAAAACCATAATATTTCCTCGTTTTCATCAGTTGTTGGTCATCAAAGGACCTTGAAGAGACCTGTACCGCAAAATAACCAGTCATTAACCTGGCTTTTTCTTGGCAGTCTACTTAAATTGTGAGCTACCAAGAGCATTTTATTGAATATATTTCATCAAATTGCTCCTTTTTTACTTGTTTTAATCATCCCAATATCAATGAATCGTAAAAAAATACTCTCGCGAACTCCTAAAATATCTTCAACCTATCGTTAAATGGGTTAACAAGACCACGAGAAAATATCACAGTAGACGACAGTTGGCTCCTGAACGCACAACGGTGCTACCACAGGAACACGTAAGTGGAACAACAAAATTTCATACTGGATAAATGAACCTCCACCACCAAATTTACGTATGCTTCCCTATCCGACTCATGTGTAACAACATACAACCTAGATGATGACCTAGAAACTACTGGTCGTTGTGCATTATACAGCCGGTCGTACTGGTATTAATAACACTATTTAACTGCCATGGTTATTTAATTTGAAAATATTGTACAAGAAGTAAATCACTTGAAATATCAAACTGAGAATTCCAAACTGTACTCAAAGTTATTGTCTGGAATTAAGTGATTGTTATTATGATTTACCCTGGTGACTACTTGGTTCTTGAAAGCCCTATTGTATCACTTTCTATTTTCATATTTTTTGACAGTTGTTTGGCCCTTTGATTAATTTTCATTCACTTATCTGTTTTATGCCTGATATTATTTTCTACTATTTCATTTTTTTAAAAGAGCAAGAAAAAAAAACTTTATAGCAGAATAATATTTCGGCCGTTGTCGTCAGCTGTTTAAAACTTCAGTTCAGCGAAATCAGTCAAGACGGGACAACGATACAGAGGAGTAAGGAAACCTTTTGAATTGTTTGTATGTCATTGTTTTCTTATTTAATGACTGTTTGTAAATGTTGGGGTGTTTATTGCTGGAAAGCAACCTCAAAATAAAGACATGAAATCTTGTGTATTCATCTCACAGTGGAATTCAGGATGCGTGTCTCGTCCTATTCGGGACTCGTCAGCCAGATGTACCTGCTCCTCAGTGAATGATGTTGTTCCCACTGAGATTCGAACATCCTACCCATCGCTTTAAACGCCCAAGCGTTATTCACTAGACCACTGGGGAACCAGAGTTATCAGTTGTGCAACGGGTACTATTTTCTATTATTTTGATACTTGTAGTTTCCCGTCGCTATACAGCGTCGAATTGCTAGACCACATAAGCTTTCTATATTCTGCAGACCCCATTTTTCTTGATTCCGTGAAGTCTCCCAAGGAAAAACGACGTATCAATGGAATAAGAACTGATTGGGGTTATTATAAGTGATGACAAAAATCAATGTCTATTAATGATATTTGCCTATAAATAGTTTAGTAGTGCTAGTGTTCTCTTGAGACATTTAGTAGGCAACAGAGTTAATTTAGCATAGGGATTTTGACATTGCTCAGTTCAGAGATACAGTCCTGTCCCGAATCAACCAATATGAAGTTGAAAATATGATCAACGCTGCAATAAGTAGTCTCTGTTCCTATTTCTTGTTTGTAAAAGGTAATTCAACTAACAGTAATGTTTCTCATTACAAAGAGAAAGTGTAAGAGAGAAGGAATAACATGGTTCCCCTGCGAACAACACCTGGTTTTAGTTGATGCCACCTAAATAGTTTGGAAAACTTCGTCCTAGCACCAGTGAAATAAAGATGTCGCTCTGAAATATAGAACTTCAGGTGCACAAAAACCTTATACAACCACTTTCATCAAGACGAATACAACAAAGCAAAAGACTTAACCAAAAGCGTCAGTTTAGGCAGATACAGATCAAAGCAATACAGAAGAAAGGGAAGATCAATGACATGAATTAGAAGACTATGACTGAAAGATTCACAGACATTTAAAAAGTGAATATATCTGACCTTTTGTTATCGACTTTGTGTCATTATCAAAGCGCACTGAACCACGAACTACTGATATATTGAAAATTATATCTAAGAAGCCGGCACTTCCATAAATGTTTCGGACCGTTAGTCAGGATGACTTACTGACTAGTAAACTCGAAGTAGAACCTCTTACACGGGTGCATAGGCTCAGCTTGCCACACTTTACAGTAGTATAGAAAGAACAAGAGGATAGAAAAGGAATTACATCAAAGTGAACGAGGTTGTCTGAGAGAATAAACAATCTGGAGATGGTCAGTGCGAACATTCAAGCTTTAGGAGATGTAAAGAAGCGAATACATCCATACCATTGTGACCAATTTTTAGCCATGTCTTCAACCATTGATTCCCTTCATCTCACTGACTAAATCCAGGTAGTCTACACCTCTCAACACGGCTTGGACTAACAGTAAGAGGCTTCATCGACTAGTGCCACGTCTTGGTCTAGACACTCTGAACACCACCCCCCCCCGCAACCTAGTTCAGTATCCCTAGCATGACACATGGAAGTATGCGGTGGCTCAGCATGCACAGAACATGCCCAAGCCATCTCAGTCGACTAACGTTCACAACCTGATCAATCGAATTCCCTATCTTGCCTGGTGCCCTTCACTGCGGTTCCATCAAACGCTAGCGATGCTATGAAGATTCAAATACAGATGCCGAGTTTTTTTTACAGCTAACCTTAACTTTTCGTCAACCTAACAACATAAAATGAATATATCTATAAGCTTAAAGAAAGAAGAGTGTGGAAGGAATTTTTCTCATAGTTACAGATAGACTGATAATGCAATCCTTGGACCCAGGGGATTTTAAAAAATGCACACACGTATACTTGAAAGTCATGATAAAATTTTACATCTAAAAAACTGAGTTTGGTCAACTTTGTTATCCTGAAGAAAGCTTTCAATAGAAGCTATAAATTGATCAACCAAGGGAAAATACTAAGTAATGTATTTTTGAGATGAATGAGAATTTTAGTTTTGAGGTAGTAGTCATCACGGACTGACATTAGTTTGAGAACCATTGAAAACCGCGATGAATAGTACCCCAAAATCAAAATCCCCATCCACCTTAAAATATATTACTGTATAGTGCTCAGTAGTGACATACTTCCAGATGGATATCACGAAGTTCTAATGAGAAGCCGTGAGCTGTGGGTTCAACTAACCAAAAGAGAAGTGGATGTCAATTGAAGACTTTGGATAGTTGTCGTGCTATATCGTGAATTGACAGAAGTTAGAAACTGTGAACTATTGAACTCCAACTCAGTGACTGAATGGTTAGCGCGCTCGCCGTGAAATCTGAAGGTCCCGAGTTCGACCCCCGGTAGGGTCATGGGTGCACCCTATTGAGGAGTCCCATACTAAAACAAAACAACTGTCCAGTGCTCTCAGGTTTCCAATGGTTCCCCAACTGCTGTCAGTCTGTGACAAATACTACCTCAAAATAGTAAGTGTTTCAAATCATCACATCTCATTTATTTAGATACCGAAACCCCCATTTTTGACAACTTAACCAAAAAAGTATGGAATAAAGTACTGATTACATAAAACTTTTCTTACCTTGACAGTAAAAAGAAACAATATATATTGTAGGATAGGTTTCAGTCGACAAATGCCTAACATAACACGATAAGTATCAACCAATGATAATTCTTCATTCGACTCAACTGGATGTAGTTGTTCATTTGGAGAAACTTCAATTATATAACTCCGACCATCTGATGGGTATCGAGTTGTATTTGAATCTTTGAGTCGATTGAATTCATGGTTAGCTTGTTCACCACTGGTATTCTGTCCATCTGAAATACGATTCCGAGAACGTGAAGACCGAGTAGGCGTTTCCTCTGAATGATTTGAAGTGAATGGTCGATCTTTACCACTATCATCATTGGGATGATGATCGCGATGATCAAAATGCTTGGATGATTTATAAGTTAGGTTATGAGTTCTTTCTCTTTTAAAAATTCCAACAAGCGTAGTTGTTAAAAGAAATACAATGCCCCAAAAATAAAGAAAACCTATTGATATGAAATGAAAGAAAGGAAAAAAACACTTTAAGACTACTAAATTTATAATAACAAACAATTGTGGTAAAATCAGATTCGAAATAAGATACGCACTCATCAATCCATTAGTGCATTTGATATAGTGTTGAAACTCGGTGGTCACTGGTTTGAATCCAGTCGCGGTCCAAATTTTCGTTTCACCTTTAATCACCACCCAGTATAAATACTGGTCTGCCAAACCACGGCTATTTCAGATAGTCAAAATGATAGTGCTGTGAGTCGATGATTGAAGCTAAGGGAAAACCCAAGTAGGTTTCAAGTTCTAGGCCTTATGTTACTCAGGTGGCGCTCTACCGATTGAGACTTAAAACAGTTGATAAAAGTCTCAGTTCTACTACAATCACCAATGGTTTTGCCAGGCTGTCGCATGAATGAGCCATAAATCATTGTTCACTCACAACTACCACATTAGTTGCTCAATCAGGTTTCCTTATCTTACTGCAAATAAGTCTGAAATAGGCAAGATCAGTGCCTGATCACTTGTTTTCGAGATTACTGAAGCCGCCAACTTTAGTTTCGCAAACTCCTCTCACTGTTATAGTATGGTTATTGAGATAAAAAATTAGTTTAAAATTAGTATTCACAATGATTTCTATAGTTACTTTATTCAATTTACTTCACAACTAAATATCGAAAAATTGTTCTCGAGTGAATTAGTACATGCTATTTTCCTCAAGGCCTAAAATTCTCTGAATGCTTTCACAGACAATCATGGTATGTCAAACACTTGTGAAAAACCACGTGGTCATATGTATGAGTTTCAGATTGGCTAAATGGCTTCCTAGAAAGGCATAAAAAATATCAAGGTTATTGAAAACACGTATATATCGTTACATTTTGTACACATCTCGAATTGACAATAAACCTTTAACCGTCTCGCTGCTTCTTTCTGCTATAGAGGAACCAAGCGACCCTCAAGAGTGAAGCCTGAGGTTATTTTGTTCATGAATCCAAACACATGTATATTTACATATATACTAAAATAGTTGACTGGACCATCTGAGTGGTTACTTATCACTCATACAACTTAAGTTTTGCCAGTGAAATTAGTTTGAAAAGAACTATATCACTGGTGTATGAAGAAAGATTTAACTCCGAAGATTGAGTTGTTCGAAATATCTGAAAACTGGTGAATTCCAAAAACGTAAGACAATTTGCATCGGTATTTCTAATGGATGATTGACTTTATTTAAAAAAACCATTATGATATATTTTAAGTGAAATATATTTGTAAAATCCTAATGTCTCAAGTTTCATGACTTCATGGAAATCGCTTCTTCAGAGAGTAAAACTTGCATAGTTAAATAGTAAATGGTGACAAATCAGATCACGTTGTCCAGGCCAACTTTTTCAACTTTATCAGGTCAAATTTTGATCCTAAAGTCTATAAAATCATTATGATATGGTTGGTGAAAACGGTGATTTCAGTCTACTGATTTCTATCAGGAGAGTCTATAGTGAGTAGTTTTTAACTGAAACAGTTCCCATCTTAGGATTACAACATATGAGAGCAGATATTCGCCATGAGCCAAACGCCGTTATATCTATTGAGGTTTCGGTAGTTAGCTAGAACCATTCATCACATGATGGATGCGGTTCACAACGAAGTATGTAGTATGTACAGTTGCCTAGCTGTATCGTTACTACTATTTAATACTATAGATAGTATGAACAAATCCATTAAGCAGCGAAACTTTTGAACACAGACTGTGAAATTTTCGATAGATTTGTGAGTTATCCAACTAATATACATCATAATAAAATAAACAAGTTGATAATTGATTGAAATCTAACCTGAAAAGGTAATTATCCCTTCGCCTTGAACAGGGGTGAATCGTATATACGTGTTGGAAATATACGGTGATTCTAAAGACATAAATAAAATGAAGGCTGTCACATAACCGAATGTTTGACCAACTGTGTTACAAGTAGAAGCCCAACCTAAATTCTTTCTAAAATATAAAATTAGAAGAATATAAAGAAAATATTTTCAGGTTTATTTATGAAAGTTTTACATGTGTAAAAGAGGTAAATTGTCTTCGCATACAGAGTCAGAAGTCATGTTACGGCAGCTTCCATGATTAAAACTATTGAAAACAAACTACTGTTAAGAAAAATTTCTATTCTCTAGCATGAAACACTGTCTATACTCACGCTTTTATATCAGATATAGCCTAGGATCTTCAGGTTTTCCTGTAAAAGCATACCATTGACAGAATTCCAAAGTTAGCATTTTCTAACTTCAAATAATCTATAGCATATATTTATTATCAGATGATATTAAAGCTTAGCATGCTTCATTATTCTCCGATTATTTTACCTCATAAGATTATTATCAGAAATTTATAAAATCCATATGAAAGTAAATTACTGATTAGGATAAATTAAGAAAATCAAGTGGCCTGAATGCATTCTATATCATGAAAAACCTGTAATAGTGGGGGACCACCAACTGCATTCAAAACTAGTAGATTAACACATGGATAGTCAAACGACAGTATGAACGAAGAATATTGCTTTCAATAAATTCCTATCAGGCTTTACAGTTATAAAATGTAATTAATGATAGATAGTGGCTGGTAGTGGAATCCAGCCAGACGCGCGTTTCGTTCTATTTGGGGTTCGTCAACTGGATTTGGCTGCGTTCCACTGAGTGATGCTTCCCTCCACTAGGACTGGAACTCGGGACCCATCGCTTCAAACGCCAGAGCGTTATCCAGTAGGTCACCGAACCACGATAGCCACATCTTGTGCGACGGGTACCCTTTTAGTGTTGTTGCTCGTATTATACCATCGTTGATTGGATCGAACTGATCAGTTTCTATTGGTATATGGGCTCCTGCGCGGATGTGTTTTAATTGTATATTAATGATGGATAGTGACTAGCAGTGAAATCGAGGATCCGCGCTTCGTCCTATTCCGAACTCGTCAGCTGAGTGTACCTGTCTCTCAGTGAGTATTGTTCCTACTGGGACTAGAACTCTGGACCGATTCATCAATAGTATGCAATTAAAACACAGGTAATATCGGGGGATCCTCGCAGCAGCGCATATGCCAATAGAAACCGATCAATTCGATCCAATTACCGATGGGATAATACAAGCAACAACAATAAAATGTAATTGTTTAGGAAAAGAAGAACATGTCAAGTTCGAGGAGAATACATTTTTAAATAGAATATGGATAAGAGATTGCAAGCAGAACGATTTCTTTTTAAATCTGTCAATGTTAAGATGACTTACATACACATAGAAATGTACTGAAAGAAATAAATCAAAAAAACAACGAAACAAAGGAAGATGAGAGGAACCTTTCATCTATTGAACGCCAAGGGAAGACAAACTTATAAACGTGTTCATGTTTAATCAGTTTCAATGCTACAGCTTCAGCTTTGTGAAGATGACGTTGGTGGGCTACACGTGGAAGTGCTTTCTGAACACAGTGTATAATGTAGAAAGCTATATTAGCGAATATATAGTGCGCTGTGTCTATCGCTTTGACTTCCACCTTTCCAAAACCAAGCCAGCAAATGTTTATGCATTCAAAGATGCACATGTCTGGTTGTACGCCTCAATGTGACTTGTTCCATAGACGTAGTTAGACTGATATTATGCAAGATAAGAAGATAAGATTAGGTTATGTATCATTTAGCCTCAGACTAAGGAGTCCCTAATTTATATTCATCCATTTGAAAAGTATATTTGCCGCAAAACTTGACCTGCGTTTTTCTGCTGAACTATTAAGTTTCATAACTATAAAACCTTATAAGAATTTATTGCAGGGAATATTCTTCGTTCATATTGTTTTTTTAATTAGTAAAATGTGAATCTTTAAGCTTTTAAAAGCCTACCTCAACAATCATCATGCGATCTAATAGCCCTTTGTTCAGCTACAGGAGTTCAAGAGTTAGAACTGGTAAGTACTGGAACATAAAAGACTTTCATATAAAACAGCATGTCTTATCAAAAGAATATTTTACTTTTCTTCCTAACACAGACACAAAGGAAATTTCCACAATTCCACCCAATTCAATGACTATTCCTCAGAGATATGGAAGGACACACCATGACGTGGAGGAAGTTTGAAATTATCAGAAGGGATTATTCTTCAGAACGCCTATTGTAAACAGATATACATTCTGAACGGATATAATATGCACGCTTAACTGACAGTTAACTTTGTACGCAAGAGCCACCGACTGCAAGCCGGGATGAATAGAGAAGAAGGCCGGAGTTGGATGGGACAGGTTCATTCCCTCGAGTATAATAATCAATTAATTAACTCAAAAAAACGCATGTATGTATGTATGTATACGCACGACATGTGACCTTGTCCGCAAATTAAGGCACTAACATAGTGAAAATAAGGATTAACCAATCAGCGAATTATGTTACAAGTGGGGGTAGAAGATAAACTACTAGTCATGCTGTGAAAATGACAAGTTAAAAATGATCAAATCAATAAGTTAATAATAATATATAAATTAAAATCTGCATTCATCTCAAAAATCAATAAGTGTTTTATGCTAGCTGGGGCCTTCCAAGATTTTTGATCTGCATTGTTTTGCCTTATTACCTTTTCTACATAAGGAAATTTATATATAATCCCAGCATTATTTAAAAAAAAATCAAAACAAGCTTTTTCTGAAGGTTTCGCTGAACATGACAAAACTTCTTCAGCAAAATATTCAGATTACTATTAAACCACTGAATAAACTATAAACATACACAGAAAAACGTTCAGAGGAATCTTGTTTTGATTTTATTAACACGTTGAAATTATTTTAAGATTTACCTTTACGGTGGTTAAATCAGGTTAGGCGTTCAGTTTCTTCTTCCAGGACATTCGTAATGACTATGAATAGGATGGATATTTATAACTTATTACCCTTATTTTCTATGATTACATCTGTTCAACCGAATAATTAGCACTGCCAATCAACATACCAATAATTAAATTATTATAAATCATGATGATGCTGTATTCTTTGAACTGGCTTGTTTAATCGTAGAGCTTTCTCATTGTCATTCTAGACAACATCATCAACACAAACTTCAGAAAGAAGTGAGTTATAAGGTTTTCTGTGCAATTCATTTAGTAGCTTGTCCTGATGGTCTTCGATGTGATTGGCTCATCAGGTTAAGTTACTAAATAAATTTCAGAGAAAACCTTACGTTTTAAATCATGCCATCGACACTAATCGTGAATATTATAACAGACACTATGAATAAATATCATATATTTTTAGCCTATTGTTCACCCAACACGCTTTTTTCGTTCCTATGTCTTCAAACTAATAAATTTTCTCAAAATACTTAAAAATTACAACTGGAAACAAGCACGAAAAATTTGCATATTGTACGGAGAAATAAACAGATTTTTAGCTCCAACATAGTGCTTCTTTATTCGATATTACATTACTTGGAATAAAACTATCGACAAGCAATAAATGAAGGTTTAGAATCCCAACTTTAGCGTAATCATAGAGATGTAGAAACTCGAATCATTAAGCAGTAATAATACCAGGATGTATCATTAATTATATCAACTCACTCACCAGCTGTGATCATAAACAGTAATTCCCTTAGACATATTACCAAATTTAATAATTGGTTGTATACAGACATACAATGTGAATGTATGATACCTAGTTTTCATGGCGGTATTCATCACAGGCTGACATCAGTCGGAGAACCACTGAAAACCACGGAAAACTGAGCAGGAATTGTTTCGTCGTTATAATCCTTGATTGCTGATTAGTGACATGCTTCGAGATGAAATTCCCCGAAGTTCTAATGAAAAGTCGTGACCGATATGGCACACCATGTTAGACGTGAGGACAAATACTCAGCGATGGGTTACAACCCAGTTGTTTAGTTGTAACATGCTCACCACGTAACATGAAGGTCCTACGTTTGGTACCTGATGGAATCATGGATGCACACTGTTGGGGAGTCGCATACTAGGACAAAACGGCTGTCCACTGCTCCTAGGTTTTCAGTGGTTCTTCAACTGATGCCACAGTCTGTGATGAGTAACACCTTGAAATCAATAGATCCCCACAAACCTTCAAAATGAATTATGATACCTAGGTTAGAGAATGTACCTCCCTATTTCGTCGATAAAGTAATCTAGCAAAAATATAAAACAGAAACAAGAGTAGAAATATTGAAGCAGTTTGATACGTTATGCTTATAAGACCTAGAGAATGTAGGTATAACTCATGCTGAGCAGCATTCGTCCAATAGTCAGGTCAAGAAATGGAAAATTGGCACTAATTAGCAATTGCCTGAGTTTGAAATTTAAACAACTCAAATAAAAACATGCAGTTGGTAGGAAACGAGGCATTAAAGGCATAATCATACTCTTTTTCAAGAAATATCCCAACTTGAGCAGTATATACAATGACTACTTACTTAAAACAAAACAAAACTAAACCCATTATATATTAACTACCTGCCAAATAAGTGATAACAGATGTAGACTAAATTGTACAGCTACACAATGTAAAACTGTTCATAAACAAAATGTTGTTTTATTGAAAAACCTTAGAACTACCTAAGTTGTATCTATACTGAACGTAAATATGACAGAATATGTAATTATTTTTCATTTCAGGTAGCACCAAGCACAGTAATAAACTAATTTCATCTAATGAGCCATAATTCTGACCAACTTCACATCTGTTAGCTGACTGCATTTGGTTTTCACTACAACAATGCTTTATAGAATGCACTGAGAAACCTTTCTACGATTGGAATCCACAACACAAGCTTGATAACGACTGGTATTTTGAAACTTGACTGAGTGTTTTTATAGAACAATATAAGAACAAAACTTGTTACAATATGGGCATCAAAAGATGAACCATACGAAATAATAAAGCAACATCATCATCATCATCATTATCAACATAGGACCAGGCATTACTGCGTAACGGTCCGAGTTGCCA